ACACATTGCCTCCTTCCTCCGGAGCACGTGGTACCAGGTGGGCTGCAGCATCCCTGTCCCTGGTGGTGGTGGCTAAGTTAAAGAGAACCTGGCAGGACTCCCAGATTGACTGGTGAACCTGCTGCTGTGCCACTTGGGCACAAGAAAAGTGCTGATTTCACTGCAGAAGACATGAGGAAGAACCACTAAAAAACCCTCCCAACAATCAGAGCCCAAACTAAAAATCCAGACCTTGTTATTGCTGGAAAAAACTTTAACGCACAACGCAAGTATTCCCTGAATGTTCAAGAACACCCACAAATTCTGTAAAAATAGCTGATAATTTATTTATTTGATTTATTTATGAGCCTGGCTTGTGATTTTGGGGTGGTGGTGGGGCTGGAGTTAGTGGTGCTGATGAAAAACCGATTTAGAGACAATCCTAGACGAGACATCAGCTTTGGAGAGCAGGGCTCAGGCTCTTCCTCGTGAAACATAGAGCACTGCAGGACCCACTAAGGTGTCTCAGACCTCTTGAGTGAGGAGGACCCCACTGCAGTAACCGTTTCTTCCTAGGGAGCTATAGGCTTTTGGCCTTACAGTCCATGGATGAGGCTGGTGTCCCATGGCCAGTATGTGGTGGAGGGACTGGCTCATCTCTTCCTGCTTACACACCTGGGTTGACCAAAGGTAGATGTGTTGTGGTGAGCATTAGCTGCCCCTCACCCTTCCCATCCCTGTTGGGCTGTGCTACCGGGTGACCCCCACAAGTGGTGAACCTGACTGTGGGATATATTCTTGTCCCTTATGTGAGGGTCTGATGGGTGCTGCCTCTGATGTCCATTGCAGAACCAAACCATCGATCTTTGCTGCTTTAGCTGGATAGAATAAAACCCCCTTCCGTGTTCCCAGAGTTCACCACCATGTTCACTTCAAGCCTTTGAGCTATTTCTCTCCTCCTTTCTCCCTTCCAGTGCGTGCTTCTCCTCTCCAGCTGACAGCCTGGGACAGCCCCCCGAGATCAGCTGCTTGTGGAGCTCTCTCTGCCGAAAGCAGTCCTAAACGGTGTGGCCTTTGTTCCCCCCCAGCTGTCGTATCCTCCGGGATCTGCAACAAGTCCTCGTTTTACAGACCCCATCTTGACAGTCCCCAATCTGATCTGACCACCTGGTTTGTTTTTGAATCGAGCTCTTGAGTCATAACATTTCTGTTTATTTCAACAACTGTATTCCTTGCATAGGAAATGAGCCAAGATGGTCTAAGGCGGGGAGAGCGAAGCATGGCGTGGTTGTAATTGCTTTTGCTCTCCCCATATACAATTTTACAGTATAATCAAAATCTTATTTTTGTACTGCTGGACTCTGTTATTGACTTAATCTTCTTAAGTGCTCCTATTATTCCAGTGATTTCATCGTTGCATGTTGATTTTAATCTTTTGATCTCCATATTAGCTACTGCCTGCAACTAATTTGTTGCTCAGTGTTTTTCTTTGTTTTGACCTGCGAGGCATTTTCCTCATGGCACACAACTCTGCTGGCAGATTGCATATAATCTCTGCACTTTTTTTCCTCCCATATTTTGCATAGTTACAACAAATGCAGATTTACAACTTGAAATGGAATATGTATCTTTCAGAAAGGCTGAGGAAAATATCACTTTAGGTTTTTTAGCTCAAAGAGCCTAAATGTGCTTGAATAAAGGAAATGCTGCTAGACACAGCTCACCGGTGAGAGGCGTCGCGCGGGCTTTTTAGTCCAGCAAGTTCAGAATGGGGGGTAATTGCAGTAATTGTAACTTACATTATATGCAGTCAAGGATCAAAGAGGTTCTGAAAGCATTGCTAGACCCAAGGTGAAGAAGGTTGGGTTTGGTGAGTGGCTGAAGGGACTCTCCTAGCTGGACTTGGTACAGTGGTGGCTCTGCTGCATTGTGACTCTATGGGGCAGGTTTTTGTGCCAACTGTAGTGATGATGGTGGTTGTGGTAGTGCAGAGTTGTGAACTTTGATGTGCAGAGGTTCAAATGTAGCTCAGCTGCATTTTGGTTGGCCAGTAGATGACTTCTTTTTGCCTTGGTAGTTGATGGTTTAACCTGTGCTGATTTATGAGTCCCTTTGTTTGCTTCAGCTTTTCCTTTTAAAGCTCAGAGAAGAGATTTTTGCCTTAGGTTTGCTGTGAGTCTTTTAAAAAGAACACAGCCTGAACATTGACAAAATCATCTTTGCTTTACTGCATGCCTGTTTATGCTTCTGAACACAAATTGTCTTCTAATATTTTTGACGTTTTGGTCACTAGAGAGGCAGAAAAGCAATTTCTAAGATGCCTATGGGCCAGGAGACATGCATTACAGCAGAGGGGAAAGAATCTGTTAGTTGCTGAAATATAAAACAAATTGGATGAACAGCTGCTGACACTTGTCAGTCAAATAGTTGATAGCATTTTCAGTCTCCATGCCACATGCTTTAAGTAAGTCTGTCAAAAAAAGGATATTTTCGCTGGACTTCCCTGTAAATACGAGAGAAGTTTTGGCCTGATCTATCATTTAAAATTTTGCTGGCAGAAGAATGAAGTTTTTCCTCTTTCCCCAAAACTGATTGACATAACTGTACTGGCAGAGTCTTCATCTAGGTGCAGTTGTACTGGCAGAAAGTCCTTTGACTGTTGGAGCTCGTTCCATCGCAGCAATGGGTTGAAGGGAAGCTAGCAGCAGACCTTTGCGTTCCTCGGCTGGGTTTGCCAGAGAGCTCCTATCCATCAGCAAGCCCTGCTAGGTGCTTCCTGAGACGTACCTTTGCTCTGCAGGAGCCTGCCCAACATGTAGTCTGTGGCTGGGAGGGCTTTAAACCCAGATTGATGTTTTTCAGACAAAATGAAACGATTTGGGTTTAACGTTTCTGCAGGATTAACTCAAGGTGGCACTTCCTGCTCCTGGTGCCATGGTGCAGCACCCATGTAGGACAGGGTCAGGCTGCCAGCACCGCGTATCGTGCAGGGTGGAAGGCAGTGGGGATTAGGGTGCAACGTGCTCCTTTGCTCAGCTGCAGGCTCTGGAGTGTGAGGTTAAATCCTGCTTTGAAGCGTTGCTCATACGTAAGGTCTTCTCCTCGCCCACACTGAAGTATTAACTTGAGGCTCATCAGTTTGGTTTCAGACTCCTTAAAAGTAGTAAGCTGGCTAATGCTTTCTTGTTTTGAATGCGTGGTCAAGCCTGCCATGTCCTCAGGGTTGTTATGAAGTGATGTACCTTTGCTCTGCAGGAGCCTGCCCAACATGTAGTCTGTGGCTGGGAGGGCTTTAAACCCAGATTGATGTTTTTCAGACAAAATGAAACGATTGGGTTTAACGTTTCTGCAGGATTAACTCAAGGTGGCACTTCCTGCTCCTGGTGCCATGGTGCAGCACCCATGTAGGACAGGGTCAGGCTGCCAGCACCGCGTATCGTGCAGGGTGGAAGGCAGTGGGGATTAGGGTGCAACGTGCTCCTTTGCTCAGCTGCAGGCTCTGGAGTGTGAGGTTAAATCCTGCTTTGAAGCGTTGCTCATACGTAAGGTCTTCTCCTCGCCCACACTGAAGTATTAACTTGAGGCTCATCAGTTTGGTTTCAGACTCCTTAAAAGTAGTAAGCTGGCTAATGCTTTCTTGTTTTGAATGCGTGGTCAAGCCTGCCATGTCCTCAGGGTTGTTATGAAGTATCTAAGGTGCTTTATTGGGGATTGAGGGCATGCAAAAAGCTGTCACAGGCTATAGGGCCATCGTTAATGACAGAGAAACTCAGACGAGGGTGTCCATCACCGCCGTTTCAGGGAGGCACCTATGTGTGTTAGTGAAGCAGAGCCAAGGAACATTTTTTACTCTTTCATTCAAAAAACTGAGCAGGGCTCACTATTTTGAAAGGTGGCAGGTGGAAGTGGGCTGTGTTTTTATCCAATAAATATTTCATGTTGGAAAAAAAAAAGGGAGCCATTTCCAGAGCAGAATCAAGCTGTTTCTCCAGCTCGGCTCTGCCTGGCTGGGAGAAGAGCTACAAATTTGGGTCTCCTGCAGTGCTTTTTGCTACCAGCCCGGTGACCAGCCCAGGTAAGGTTTTCCCAGTGCCTCCTCTTGAGCTGTTACCCTTCATGTAAGTATCTGGGACAGCTGAGGGGGAGGATGAAGAGAGCACCTGTATGTGTCAGTATGTGTATGGGTCTCAAGTGGATCTCAGCCACTTAGAAAGAAGGGACCAGGTCATGCTTGCAGTTTGTTTATTGCTTTATGTCTCGTGAGACTTGTTTCGTCAGGCAAGTCCTGTGAGGGCATCAAGGACTGAGTGAAGGCTCCAAATGTAATGACGTTGAGATGTAGATGGGTTTTTGTATGCATCCCAGTGACAGACCTGCAGAGGCACCTGAGCTGGTTTTGGTAGACTCGGTATGACTTTAACACATATGTCCAGGGAGTGTCCCATGGCTCTTGGGCACTGGAAGATGGTTTAGTTTAATGGATCAGAAAGGTTTGTACAGGCAGGATGCTTTTCCAACATTTGCCTGCGTGGTGAACATTTGTCCTCCTCCTCCATAGGGGCAACAGGTTGCTGTGCTTGGGGGTGAAGGACATCAGCTCTTCTGCTCTCTGAGATGACTGAAACCCAGGGTAGCAGGAGTCACTTTTTGTTTGAATTGGCTCAGAAAACTCCCAAACCAACATGCTTTCCATTAAAGAAGCTGCTTTGTAATTTCAACTAGGGGTCTGCCATGTAATGGTATGCCAGGCTGCTGCTGTGGAAGAACAAACAGGCCTTTTGGTGGCAGGTAAGTGCAAGGAAAGGCTGACGACCATGTAACGGGCCAAACCAAGGCAAGATCAGCAAGTAGATGTCCAGAGACAAATCACAGGATATAGAGTGCAGATTACGGTCGTAACAACTGCAGAGGTGATAGCAGAAATGCCCTTGTACCTGGGGAATAGACAGTGTGGTCCCACCCTGACCTCGGGGAGCAAATCAGGAAACCATCTTCTTATATTAAGAAACTAAAAACACCCATGAGAAAAGAAAATGCCTTTATTCCGAGAGGTGGGGGCTCTTACATCTCAGCTTGTAATTGATTTATTTTTTTTCTAAGGCAGACATAAAAAGACTCCATAATTTATTCTTAGGACATCTGAATAGTTATTTATTGAGAAGCCACAGTTCTCACACTTTTACAACTGTCGGCTTGTATAAGGCAAAAAAAGCAAGATGGATCACTATTTTACACAGAAAGTAAAAGCTCCAGAGGAGGGACGGATGGACATGCAGTTACTGGTCAAAATGCAATGTACATGACATATATAAAAACCATTGTGAAACAGAGGGATTGTAAATTATGGTTACAATCTACTGAAATAAATAGTCAATATATTATTATAAACACATTTGTATAGTCTAAGATTGTAATTAAAGTTGTCTTTGTACATCCACAGTTATTGGAGATTTGAAACAAAAATGTAACATTCAGAGGAGCAAACGTCAACATAAAACAACTGCTTTGGACTTGTAATGTGGCATGATATATCCATAATGATAGGATTAATCTGGTGTGGCAATTAGAATGACTAATCCTTTGGGATGTAGCCTCTATGGAGTTAACTGCATATTGAAGGGAAGAGCCTGGTACATTAACAAGGATGCGGAATGATTCAAACGGCTGTCTGGGTTTGTTTGTTTTCTGGTTTGTAAATGAACAGAGAGAACAAAAAAAAAATAATCATTTGTAATTGCCTTGTTCTTCTTTTAAAAACAAAGCTGGTTTTTTCCTCTTTTTATTTTATTAATTTTAAGCAGTTGGCATCCACAGAAGAGAAACAAAGAAATGAAAGGACTCGAGTCACTCATCTTCACAACAGTTTACCATCAATGTATATACAGTACATTAATGAAGCATTGTTTAAACTTTAATTATAACAGGGACACACCTAGCATGTTTTCTATGTAGTTTTTTTTCCATTAACAGTATTAAACAACGGTGCTCCATATTGCTTATGAACATATAGATATGAACTTAGGAAACCGATGAATCAAAGAGAGGTGCTAATCTTATTACCACACAGCTAACATGGCATTTGTATTGGTAAACTTCTCATGGGCATTTAGAGCTGACAGAAAAATTCCTAATGTGGCTAACTTGAGTTACAGACGAGGTACATGCACGGATACCAGGCGACCCCCAGCCGGTCCTCTGGGCCAGCATCCCTAGTCATCCTCTTCATCTTCCTCATCGCTGTCCTTCATGGTGATGCCCTGGAGCCCTCCGCCTTCACTGACCGATGCTGTGGCCTCCTCTACCGTCAGCCGGTTCCGGATGGTCTCGTAGGTTTTGCTGTTCAAGGTGGAGTCCAGCACGCCTTGCAATCGGAAATCCCGGTACGTCTTCTACAGCGGGGAGAGGCGTGGGGGAAAGAGGGAAGAAAGCTCAGAGGTCAGGGAGAACACCAGCTACCCTGCGTCACCACCGGCACCAGCCCGTCTGTGCCCCAGGGTTGGGGCCGCTAATGGAAGAGGATGGGATGCCAGGGAAATCCCAGCCCTGGGGGCATTTTGCATCGCCCCCAGTAGTGCAGAGGTAGAGGGGGGCATCTCTGCTGGCCACTGCTTTACCATGGTAGTAAGGAGTACCCTTTAGGATGCCTTAGGAAACAGATTATGGCTCTGCAACTCCAGCAAGGGATGTGCTGGGGAGCTTTCCTATGGTAGGTTGGGGTCTAAAAAGACATCAAAGCAACATATAAGGACCCTTCTCCAACTGACTTCCCTTGCTTCTGCAGGCGTTCATCCTGCCTCTAACATCAGGCAGCAGAATACTTATTGCCCGTAACCACAGACGTGATTACACGTTCCTGGAATGTTCTGTATTAAACAATCCTACCTACAGTATTGGGATTAAATAAACTAAGCCCAGGATACAGGAGAAAACTGTTGATGTATAAACATAAGCACACGGCATGTGTTTCTAAATCTCCCTTTCTTCACCTAAGCCTGCAACTGGAGTTGTATTTCCATGGTTAGCTCTACTTCCCTTGTTACTACAATTAGTAGCTTTCATTTGAATTTCTGCTTAAGAACTTCTTGACTCTGTGAGATAAAACTCTGGCCTTGTAGTTCATTTAATTCTGCTCTGTGCTCTGCATGGAAGCTATTTACTGTTCTGCTATTTCAGAAAGTCCTTGGATTTGTTGTAGCTGCTTCTGAATGTAATATTGGTATAAATAAAGCACAAGGAAGAAAGCTTTCCTCAGCTAGCTGACAAGTAGAAATAATTTGTCTGTGCCTGTTGTTTGCAGTTATGAAAAGCACATTTAATACATTTCAGTTTTAATTTATTCATGCCTTCAATGTGTTCACTGCACACAAGACCATAAACATTATAAAATACTAGACCAAAAAGCATTAGATAGAACCTAAAATGATCAAAAATATATTTACCCCCTTCTGTGATCTTATTATTTCATGTAAACCACTGTGATTTCACACTGAAATAATTATCATTAGTCCAAGGCACGCACACACACACATATACACATACACGTGCACTCAAGGAAAAGAAAATGTTACTTTCACAGTATGTTATCTCACCTTTGTGATCTCTTAGAGTTGATTATATACACCCATTGTAAAAGAAACAACTTCGGTTAGCTCCGAGAACAATCCTCATTTGCATTCTGACAATAATCACAAGCCAGAGCTCGGCTTAGTTAAAACAGCATTAAAAACTTTGGGTTTGATTTAACCCATTTTAACACTGGAGTTCGTTGGTGTGACCCACGTGTTTGCCCACAAAAAGGCTAATTTTGGTACAGGCAGGGTCAAACAGCAATGGAGTTTCCCTTTTTTTCATGGAAATGGTTTTGTTCTTATTTGCACACCTGTATTTTGCATCTGTATGCATTGTAAGTCCCTGTCTATCCTTTGCTACATGCCGCACACACAGGTGTCTTAAGGTCCTTTCCAATCCTAACTGTTATATGATTCTATCTTAATTTTTAATAACTGTAATGAATGGCTTCATTTGTTTGCAGGTGATAGTTTACTAAGAGAACATGCTGCACACATGCAGGCATACACACACACACGCTCCTCCCGACAGCAAGATGGTATTAAAACCACCTGTGCTAATTACCTTTACTATCCTAATGAGAGTTTTCAGTTGGTAGATGTGAAGCTGCAGGTCCATGCGGTCTGTCAGCCAGGTGCAGACAACATTCATCGAGCTGGTGTACCATTGCTGCAAGAGAGACAGGACTTCTCCAGCAACCACACTAGGGCTGCCTGCTTGTGCTTGAGCCCAACGTGCCGGCAGCACCCACCTTCTTGCTAACGCACTGCTCATGGGATAGGACAAACTCAGAGGGGCAGACAGGCACCTGCTTTTACACAGCATTTCCATGCACGAGCTTTTAAATCTTAATAATAACAAACTTACTGTGAGGGGTAACAGCCACCAGCAGCGCTGCAAGGCTTTTGCAATCTCATTTTGCCATTGACAGGACTTGCAGGCAGTGGTGTTTAGCCCGTTCCCGTCCCCAGTGAGGGCACAGTACTGCTTTTAAGTGTGTTAGACCCACACTCGAGCTACTTACCGTCTTGAATTGAACCATAAGCAGCCATGGGGTGAGCCCGGTTCCCTGATGGCGAGCGGAGGGGAGGCTGGTGTGGGGCAAGGTGAGAGGATGCTGGTCTAAATCTTCCCATGGAAACACTTTGGTTTCACCCTCCCCGTTATGAAAGATAGAAAAGCAGCAAAGAAACGAGCTGGTTTCAAGCTGCTGGACTCGCAAGGGCCCCTCCAGGGGCTGAAATGCCTGTGAAAGGGGCTTGCAGCTGTGTGGCTCAGCCTGCCAGCCCCGCGGTGCAGCAAGGCTG